ATATTTTGAAAAATATAAATTATATTGTAATTTTTTAATTTTCAAAATATATACAGTTATATTTTTTTTTGGAATGTCGGTGATCGTCGGTGAAATATTGTCCGATGATAACTATATAATAGGTGCCTCAGATGGACAAATAAAAGAACTTAAGTTTCTTCGAGATACCTTTAATATATTTTCAACTAATACTACGAAGACTGGTTGGAATATAACCCATAATCCCAATTGTGATATTAAACAATTTCAATGTCATATAGGTCGAACGTGAATGACAATCTTTAGTATCGATAATATTCATCGACTTTTTTTTAAAAAAAAATAAAAAAAATTAAAAATTAAAAATTAAATTAAACACAAATAGTAAATATTGTTGTGCTCCGCTATAAGACACGATGTTACACATAAATTTCACCGAAAAACGTTTTACCGACAATTAAATATGACCAGAATCACAAGATTGTCTGCAAATGAATGTTTTTGGATTTCAACATTAAACTTTTGTAATGTATCGCTTATTATTGATGCTGCCATATTGTTATACTTTATGTGCTTGTTTTAATAGAATTATATACGTCATCATCATTTTTAAGTAATTTAAAATAATCCACCTTTGAACTAGTAAAACTATCTAATATTGGCTTGTTTGCAGCAAAAAAATATTGTGTAATGTATCTTCAGAATGAAATTGGAGATTTTCACTTGCGGCCGATAGATATGATGAAATACCTGTATAGGTTTGCCCGTTACCGGTAAATGATTGATAAACATTGTCCATTAAACTTGGAAAAAAGTAATTATTCACCATACTAACCGTAAAAAATCCTACATTATCTATCACACTCGTATCCCCGTATCCTTATTTTCTATTGGGGAATCGAAGCCTTACTCAAAGATTCAAGGGTTTGTTGAATATTAGGGTTTTCTGATTCTTGATAGTATGTCGATATTCGTCTCATTGCAGAAGATTCGCACAATTCTATGTTTTAGAGCATCAAAATTACGTTTTTGAATCTTTCTAAATTGATTGGACTTCCTATCCCATCTGCCCAAGCTTCTTCTTCAGTCATTTCTATCGATCCTTCAGCTGAAGCATCAATAACATCCAATGTAGCAGCATATTCGGCAGAGGTTGCACTCATTTCTGCGAATTCGCCGGTGCAAAAAAGAAAATCAACCGCTCCGACTGCATCTAATGCACTTAAATAATATGATCCACCAAAATAAATATCAACTATAGCAATGGAAACGACTGCAGAAATTATAATCGCTTTGAGATAGTTATGTACAGGCGGTGACGGCGGTGGTCGGATCAATTCTTTTAGATTATCGGGAGTCATTTTAACACTTTGTTCACAGGGCTTCATGGAACCCTCGATGGTGTCTCTCCCAATAATTGAATACCTTGTTTGCCGAATTAATAGGAAATCCGGGTGCATCTGGGTGTTTACCTTCACTGCAATACTGGGCAGTTAGATGAGTTGGAAATGCATAAACTAGGTTCGGTACTTTAGCCTTATAAATAATTTTAGGGTTAGAATAAGTTTCATCGTGTAATTACTTAAATTACATTTGTAGTTGTTAAGGTTTTTTTCAGTATACGACGAAACTGTAAGTTTTTTTACTGCTAATTTTCACCATAAGCTGAAGTTGCAATCATAGGTACACCCCACATAGTGATGTTTACAGTTGTTAATGGTGGCTCATGACTTAAAGTTTTGAATTTCCCTAACAAAAGAGACTTCGAATAACTAATATGGCATCAGCAACGACCTGGTCCCACATATTAAAATCATGTTCTACTGATCCAATCAACAATAACTACTGTTGAAATATTTATAAGAAACCTTATCTTTATAGTAAAATATAATTTTTTTCCCTTGTCGAAAACTTAAGACCTTATATACAGTTTATAACCCTTTCATTCAACATTTAAGAAATCTCTTTTTTTTCATTCGACAATTAAGAAAATGTCAAAATCCTTTAATCTTACGATTTTATATTGAAAGTCTCCATTTGTTTTTGAACTTTATGTTTAATTGTAACTGTCATCTCGGAACTGTCGAATCGATCCAATTTCAGACACCCATTTCAGACTTTTAGCTTTTAGCTGAATTATAATTCCAATTTTTTTTTATTTTTTTAAGCATATTATTTTCTATTATTTTTTTTTAATCGGTTTATTTTTTTTTTTTTAGGATTTTTGATCACACTTAATGTAGGTTTTTCTTTTCTTTTTTTTTTCGATTTTTTTTTTAATTTTTAAACTTTTTTAAATTTCGATTTTATTTTTATTCAGCTATTCGGCAAATAAGTAAGTTCTTTTTTTTAACTTTAAGTTTATATTTTTATTATTTTTTTATTTTTATTTTATTACTATTTATTTTCATGCAGGTTTTCGACCGCGTCAGTTAAATAAGACATTTTATTCATTTTCGTTTTAACTATTTTTTCAGGTTTTTTTTTAACTTCAGACCGATCCACCTAAAAAGCAAAAAATAATCATTCAATTATAAGACATGTTAAAAATATTCATTTTTTTTTATTTAATTCTTTTAAACAGTAGAAAGCTAATAGAAAAAGAACTCCCTTTATGAGTTACCTGTATAATTATTCTATTTTGAAGCTGAGAGGCGAATTTTAAAATAAAATTACTTAACTATTTATAAATATTTTCTAGAGAAAGGAAATCGTTAATTTTATTTATTATAATAGAGTAGTAAAGAAAATAAATAAAAGAAATAGAACAGTTAAAAATCATTAATTAAAATAAATTGCTTATGTAAAGTACATGTAGGTAATAGATTCTTCATATCAGATTTTTTATTTAGCCTGTAACTTTGATTACTTAAGCGTCTTGGGTCCATAGATGCATTACTTGTAATTGCTGTAATATTTGATAAGTCAAATTCTGCTAATTTGATCTTTTCCTGATGTATAAGAATATTGTGAAATGCTAACAGATTTATGTCATCCCAATTAAGTTATTAAAGTTCTTATTTAAATAAGCGTCTAATATACCGTTATCAGCTTACTCTAAGGCTAAAGAATACACATCAATTAACATTATTATATAAAAAATTATTATCAAGTTAGTAAGTTAAGTTAAATCTTATATGCTGTATAACTTTCTTACTTGGTTCAATCATTGTGATTCCATATAACTGTATAATATTTTCATGATTATTAACATTCCGATGCAATTTAAATTTACGAAATATTAAATTAAGTATTTTATGTAAACTATTTATTTAAAATAATTTAAAATAATTATAGGTTATTTTACAACATTTTGATGGATTCGTGATCATTGTTAAAAGTTTCAAGCAAAAAGACGTTAATTTTTCAACTAATACGATAAACATTTTCATATGAAACTCTTCCTATGAACTGTTTATTGAGTATTCGTAGAATTTTATATGTTCATCAACAATTGAATTATTTATCCAATATACACAATATTCTGAATGTTTGATATTGGTATCATTTGAAATTGTTATTTTTCTTTTGTATTTTTTTAAAAAAAAAAAAAAAAGTCGAAGTGCTGATCATGCAAATTTATCAGACGGATTCAATCATTTCTTCGAAAGCCTTTCTTACTTGTAATTATGGGTGGATAGAGATAAGTATTCGAGTTTTATTTTGGTCGCCCGTAACTTTGGTAGGTGGACAGTGTTCAAATTTTTGTTTAATGGGCTATTTCTCTGCAAAAGTCTCCACATTGTTCTACGACTCTCAATTTTAGAAGCTTAAGGATTTATGAGCATTCGATATGATTTTCTTTTTGCATTGATATTTTAGTACATTTGAGCACAAACTTTCAACATAGGTGTATTGATATTAGGCCAGGCCCCATTGATGATGTCAAATCCAACCTGCCTATATTACCGACCTTATATTTATAATGCTTTGCCAAAATTATCGTTGATTTTTTATTATTCCTATTCGCTAATGAAGCTGTTTCATCCTTGCATTAAAAATAATTGGCAAGCAATTATTTAGTCCTGATAAATTGCTTTTATTAATACTTTAATTTAGTTTTTGCTCAAGTAATTTTATCTGATTTAATAATTACCTAATAAATGTTAAGTGGTATTAAAAGATTTTAAGATGGAAATAAAGAATTATATAAAAATAAAAAATACGGTTTGGTGAAATGAAAATTAAGAGTTGCTCTTAAATGTTGTTTTCCTATTCTTCTCTTTATCCATTGATCTAATTCTGATAAAAAGTTGGGTAAAGAGAACAAAATTTCTTCGGCCACTTCCACTTTCGAATTTTGTCTCTTTCTTTGTAGCACATGTGTAACATTTTATGTTCTGTTGCAGAATATATAATAAACTTAAATTTATTCTTGATATAAATGCGGCTTATCTTATTTATCGTTATTGCCGTCAGTTTTTACAATCTTCAATAAACTTATGTCCATAATTGAATCAATTAATAACTTTAAATATGATATCGTTTGTCAAAAAAAAAAAAAAAGTTATTATTTCTAAGTACGTTAGCTCGTTTTGAAAAAGTATTGCGCCTACTAATAAGAAAAAAAATTTGCCTCCAAAAATTTCAGTTTGTACCTTGTGACTACTAAATTAATGACCTATAAATTTAACATTTCACCACTTCCAATTCGATCAAAATATACCAACCAAATTTATTGCTTTAGGTTCAAAGATGGGCAATTTTTATTTCCAGATATAAACATAAATTTCAACGCCGCCTTAATTATTTTTAATCACATGACTTATCGTGCCACAAGAATCGTCAGTTCTTTGTAATACAAATATGGACAATATTTTTTTACCAAATTTGTAATAATTATTATCATTTCGGAATAACAAATCCTTCATTGATATAATGAAAACTTTCATGTCATTGTACATAATGAACCAGAATTTTTTTTTATCGGTATATATACAGTATGCCATATACTTCGTTATTAGCAACTTTTTACATTGAGACATTTTATTCTAATCACAATTTACCAAAATTACAAGAAAATGAATTCATATATTAGTACTGTATCTAAGCTAAGTAAAGACGTCATAAGCAGAATAAAAGGTTTTGATCGATTTAATTTAACTGAACAACAAGCAACATTGATTGATGAATTGATACCAGATGAAAATTTAAGAAAACGATATATAAAAAATGGTTTGTGTGAGGTTTGTAATCAACCTTTTACGGGCAATTATTGGTGTAATTGCTGCAATTTAAAGCGTTTTCAGCAAGACTTTAAACTGTGGACTAGTGGTAATGATGAGATTGATAAATTTTTACAACAAATTCAGTTAAATGCGACTGGTCCATATGATGTATTAGAATGGGTACCTTATGATAAGTTTAAGAATATCACATTTCTTGCAGAAGGCGGTTTTGGTATAGTGTATAAAGCAATTTGGATTGATGGAAATATTCGTTACTGGGATATTAAAAATAATAAATGGAACAGAAAACAATATGCAGAAGTTGTTTTAAAATACCTAAAAGATTCAAATAATATTACTACGGATTTTTTACAAGAGGTACTCGATTTTTTTTTTATTTAATTCTTACATAACAATATTATTATTAAACCATTTTTAATCGCAGATTACACTTTGTAACAAATTTTATCAAACATTTGTCGTTCGATGTTTTGGAATTTCTAAAGATCCTGCAACAGATAATTTCATAATGGTAATGCAATATGTGAAAGGAGGTAACATGAGAGAATACGTAAATAATTTACATGATAATGACTACGATCCATCTAAATCCGGAATATGGGCCAAATT